GAGAGGCACAAATAAGGTAAGCTGGTAGAAACTGGGACAGTGGCAATGAAAATAAGAGTTGTAGAGTCACTTCAATCTTGAGAAGCTGCATTCTTTCCCCATGTGCTACAAGAGCAGTGATATATTCATTACCTTTAAAGGCTTACTCAGCTGACTGAAAGTCCTAAAACATCACTGCTGTTTTTCTATAGGTTATTCTGGCCACCCTAAAGTAGATAATATGTATTATATGCTCTCTAGCATATACCCTATAACTGTATATAACATACATACGTAGCAACATATCGTATAGCTTCAGATGTGTTCATCTGAAATGTGGAAACTTCGTGAAAATCCACTGAGAGCTGGGGGTCAGTGTACCAAGGCACTGAATATCACCAAACATTTCTCACACACTTCTGCAGAGGAAAACCCACCCAGTTCCATACAACCCCAACAGTACTTTATCAGATTTCTCCTATTTCCTTGTCCTTCTTTCATTCTGTTTTTTTTTGTGGTTTTGCCTCACGTTGGTGCTTTAATGACACTGTCTAATCCCTTAGCTCCCTTGTCTTTGCTATTTGCCTCCATCACACCGCATTTAGTGCTGTTCTCTGGCCACAAGGACATCACAGCCTGACCCTTTGTGCTTATACTTCAGTTCAAGTTTTATTAATTTGAATAAAAGATATTTTGCTTTCCAGTTTATTGATCAGTTATATATGGTTCTTAGTGCGAGATAAAAAGATGTTTAATGAAAGCTGTGCTGCCTCCTCCCACACAGAGAAAGACGAAGTCTGTAATTGCACGATACTATATGCTTCTGCTATCTCTCAGTGACCACAGAGGTAAATCTAAACAGATATATATATTCATAATGATGTAGCCCATCCATACTGAATGTTATTCAAGCAAACCAGAGTCCATCTATGAGCTACTTTTTCTCACTAGCCTTCCTGGAAGAGGTAGTTTTGATCAATATAGCCATGCCCTTCTGCTTCATGTGGAAGTGATAGGCAGCTAAAATGGGTCATCCCTTTACCATTAGGTTCATGGGAATTTTTCTTCCACAGATGAGTCATTATATAACGGCTTTACTGCAGAGTAATGTATGATTACTATTCTTGAGACACTAAAAAAAAATCAGATTATACCGCTTTATCCTAAGAAGTTATCAGGTTTTGCTTCAATATGTTGGAAATCCTTTGCATATCGGTAGCCTGGGACACACGTAAACAAAATGTAGATTGTAGCTGACATCAAAAATGGTAAAAGAAATGTGCTCATGAGGGCAGTGAGTCACAGGGGATTTATGAGTCAAGCTGTATATGGTTTCTTAGGAAGAAATTACTTCCTTAGTCTCTTAAATGAGCACAGAAAGATCCCAGAGAGAAGCAAATCCACCTAGGTGAGGGGAAATAGGCTGTAGGTAGACTTTCTACAGGTCCGTAAGGGAAGAATGCTCAGGAGATAACTGCTTTTAGTAGGGTCAGGACAGGAGGGATATTGGATGACTCCAGTACCCCCGGAAAAATCCTAAGGAGGGGTGGCATGTAGGGCTAGAAAGGCAACTGCACAGGGCAGCAGGACAGAGGTGGGCTCCATATCAAGGCTCTGCTGCCTCCTACACCCACAGGACTGAGATTTTTCTATCAGGATTTGTGCCTGGAACAGGAGTAGGGGTCCACACACTTACAAACAACTTGTAAGCAATACTGCAGCAATACTTGTAAGCAACACTGTGCCTCAACAGTATGGTGCATACACAAAGGATGTGGAGAGAGGGGAAGCTTCTGTGTTACTGTTCCTCATTGCATGAGCCTAAAATTTATGTCCTCATGTTAGAATTGTGGTTTCTGAGAGCTGGTGGAGAGCTTGTCCTGGCCACAGCTGTAATGCAATCAGAAAATGATATCTTTATCTGCACTCAAATCCAAAGTTAATGTAATCAGTAGTGTTGCATTCTTAATGTGCGGCTGCATCTGACCCTGTACTCTGCTACTGTCCCTTGCTTTTCTAATGTCAATGTGTGCTTGGAGCTGCACAACTGGAAGAATAAATGCAACTCCTAATCTTATGTTCACCGGACTGCTTTGCAGTACTGCAAGGACCTCTACAGAGGCTTCACTGCCTTAGACTGCATGTGAGGAGAGTTAATTTATCCAGGAGGTTTTGCGCGAAGGCTGCAATAAGACCACAAGGCAGCCTCAGTTATCACCCTTGAGTTCTCACATTTTGTGAGTCAAAAAACCATTCACTTTTTGAGTTGAAAATGTTCATCTCTGCTTTCTGGACATAAATTATTTTACTGAGCTTTATCCCTTCAATTGCTACTGAGTTATTGCAGAATATAAAAAATACATTTTTTCTTATGTTCTAAAATAAATTCTTGCAGTGCTGTTGTGCTGTTGCTTTTTTTTTTTTAGGCTAAACAACATCAAAAAACAGTTGAGTTCTAAGAAATAAAATCTGAAAAGGCCCCAGTTCAGCTCAGGATTGATCCTTCTGTCAGTCCTTGCTCAGGAAAATAATTTAGCATGGACAGCAAGTTGGGTATATGCTCACATCCCCTTCAGGTCAGTGCTAAAGTTACAGTTAAGTATGAGATGAATTGTTGTGTAGGATAGGGATTGTTCACTGAATTTTGAACCAGCTGTATTTCTTGCCTGGAAAATTAAATGTCTAAGAGGAGTTGAGGAAAAACATTACAAAACTAGGTTCTCAGGACACAGAAGAGACAGGCTAAGTCTGCAGAGGCACACTTCAACACGAGGGTCAGATATCCAAGACAGTGAAAGCAAGACTTGCTCCAAGTTCTCATCACAGCTCAGCAAGTCCCAGAGCTGCAGAATCTAGCAGAGGAAGAGGGAACATGGCTCCATTGTGTGGCCCAGCCCACAAAACATTCCCAGAATTCAGGCAGACCAGGATGGACAGAGAATATTATTAGATGCTGCTTTTCCTTCAGATCCTGCAGTTTTGTTCAACCCATTATGCTGACCAGACTCCACGACAGACCAGAGAGCCAACCATGAGCTGCTCTGACCCTTGAACTACGTATGCCCCACAACCAGTTTAACTACATCTGTTCCACACTGCTGAAAAATCACAAAACATTCTAACATACCAAAATTAAAATTGTCTTCACAGTTCAAATCTAGCACTTCTGCTGCTACTGTGCCCCTTATCTCTATTTCCTTATTAATACTTAGTACTTTTAAATAACAACATTGAACTAGTGTCTGTCTTATTTAATGAAAAAACCAGACTACATTGATACTATCTAGAAACACCAAAATGTCAGATTTTCTATTCGATTTTTTCATGGAAGAAGACTCTTGATAACTTGTAGATAATCTACTGGCTGGGTCTGCTTTTCCAGGAAAATAATTTATTCAGACTTGCTTCACTTCTATACAGGGATTTGGAAATATTTTTGTCTATTTAATGTGAATTTCCAAATCATACTTCCTCTCTATTTTCAGAATGATGCACTTAATTTGGAATCCACAAGCCATTCCTAACAGGCTAAGCATTGGACCTGACATGAACTCACCAACTAACATGACCTAAGCAAAGGTACCATTAGGTTGCCTCCCAAGTTGGCAGAAGGAGGTCACATTGTGAAGTCTGCAGAGCCCAAAAGCAACATGAGCAAAGCTTTCCTGTAAAACAGAGACACATTAACTCAAGGTTCAGAGTACAGAGCAGCTGTATGAATGGAAACCTCTGATTAGGTATTGCAAAAAAAGAAGTTAATGTTTAGCCAGCTTATCTGCTGACAAAACATTGCCAAAGATCTTCCTTAACTTCTGATTTCTAAACACTAGAGAGCATAATTTGGGTATCACAGGGCAATTTTGACTGGATCTTTCTGAGCTATGCAAGACTATAAGAGAAATAGTGTTGAGTATATTTTATTTAGGTTTAGCTTCTCTGGTTTTTGATTCCATTCTTGTCTCCAGTGTTCAATAATGGATATGAGGTATCTGTTCTTTCAATCTAGAAATGAAGCAGAGATGAAAATGGTGTAAAGTATTTTCAGTTGCTGAAATCTTGTGAATGTGAGATTTAAAAATGGCAGTTAAATAGTTCTGAGCAAATAAATTAAAAATCTGCTGAAGACTGAGTTAGTAGATGAAAGCATGCACTGCTGCAGTCAGCCCAGCAGCCCTGCATACAAACAACAGAGATCCCTTTTGTGTTTGAAATGCATCACTGCTAGGGGATGTGCAGCACCCTCACATTGAATTCTGATACTCCCTCATTGATCTTGAAGACAGTGGAGGAGCTGGAAGAGGCTGGAACATGCTGTTTTACACCTGCCCTGCAGTGGAAGTGACACTATGCTATTTATCTATGGTATGCACACTTTTTGTCCCTGTTGGGATCTGCCAGGACAGCATGTCTGGCAAGGGGACCCCATTTGCTTGTCTTTGCCATCACTCCTCTTTGAACTTCTTCCAGGGATTTCTTTACATGAAGGACTGATCTGTGCCAGAGCTAGGCATGCAAGACTAAGTGCTTTCCCATGCTGCCTGCTAAGCCACAGCACTAAGCCAAGGTATCAGAAACATTGCACAAAGTCATTTTGTGTTAAGCAGATTTTTTATTGACTCTCCAGTTACTGTATTTTTTTATTTTGTTGTCATCCCTTTTGCCCATCTCATGTTGCAATTTCAGTCTTCTAGGACTTCTGGCAGAAATAGAGTTGGCTCAAAAACTTAGCCGTGTAGATTTGCAAAAATCACTTCTTGCTTCTGAATAAGCTGATTGGACCTATCATACAGGGCTAAACAAGAAAGCAGGTTCATTCTCCTAATTTTCAGGCATGGAAAATAAATAAATAAATGCTATTTACCTGAAGTAAAAGTGGATTGACTCAACTATGCATTTGCCAAAAGTTGCATCAGTGTGAGATTTCACAGAGCAAACACCAATGAATAAAGTCCTTATTTGTTCTGCTATTCCTGGTGTCACTGAAAAAACTTTCTAGGGCATTGCCCATCCCTGATAGCTGTCAACTCAGGTGCCCAGAAGACTTTTTAGGACCATGGTTATTTCTCTGGGGTATTTCTTGAGTGGGGTTCATGGTGAAAAGGTGCCTGGGGCTTCAGGTTGCTCAGGACATCCCTGGGTACCAGCCCTGCTCAGTTGTTCCCAACAGCATCCACAGGAATGGACTTTTGGTTCTGTTTCTACTTGCTGGTTGATTTTTGTGTACTCAAGTGATGACTGAGGAAGAATCAGAAGGCAACTTGTGGAGGTACAGCTGGTTTTGCCATTTTTGCAGTTGTCCATGGACAACCTGACAGGCTGCCTATGTGCTGTTTTGACTATGAATACCGTCTGTTTAGACAGTGCCCTCCTACTGCTTCCCAGTGCTCTTTCATCTGTCCAAACCCTCCTCTTTCTGCTCTGCTGCAGTTCCTGAAAGGGGAAATTGCCTTTGCTCTGTGCTTGCTCACTGCTTGGCACTGTGGTTCCCAGTGTGCAACAAAAGACTGACAGATCCTGCAATAATAATATTAGCTGACTCTTACTGCTGCCATTGCTGGGGCAAGAGAAGTTGCAGCCTACGAGTCTTAACTCGACTGCTGTATTCTGTCATTAACAGAGACATAATGAGAGCAAAGAAATAAGGTACATGGATTTGATACACTTATCTGGGCCAAGAACCAGAGTGTCATGGGCCTTGACCAGGGTTTGTAGATGTCACAGCAGTACAAAGACATGGCAGAGGTAGCAATGCACAAAAGCATTCTTGAAGAGGAAGACAACTTTCTTTGAGGAAAAAGGGGGGGTTCCCTTACAATCTGCCTCAAATGCAAATGAGCAATGAAAAAGAAGGCAACACATTAAGGGAATGTCATTCGATCACAACTAAATGATGCACACCCCCACCTGGATGGTATGACGTTCCTCACTGATGTTAAATATTTGTATTCTTTCAGGTGTATATACCATCCACCATTAGCAGTACGAGCAAAGAGAGCATATGTCAGGACTTGTTATGCTTAACACATATATTTTGAATAAAACTACTCTGTGTCTTTGAAGGGACACTGCATCTTGCTTTAATAGAGTAGGTATAAGCCCACTACAGACATGGCAGTACTAACTGCTTTGGTGATGGAAACAAAACTAGAAGTAATGGTTTTATCCCCTTTTCTTGTGAAGAGATAGAGCATTAAGGAATTTAACAAAGTTAATTTAAATTCAACTGGGAAAAATAATCAAAGGAAGTCAATAAAGGAGATAAATAGAGGAAAGGCATATCAGACTCCAGAAAAATCCAAAAGGTGCCCTGAGAAGTTTATGGCAGTACAGATCCCTTCATAACATAGCCACAGTCTGAAAAAAAACAAAAGTATTTCAGCCATTTCCACTGCCATCTTGGTGAAAGCTCCTCCTGTAAGTGTTTGTAGGGAAACATTGGGCACAAACACATTTGAAATAAATCCAGGATCTGTGCTTGAGTCTCTGATAACAAGGTTTGACCTTCAAAAATGCTAAACCTCATTTAGACCTGCTAGAGTAACCAGCATTGGAAAATGAGATCAGTTCCCTCTACAGTCAGTTGTGTCATAGGGTGCAGAAGCTAAGCTACTCCTTCTCTCTCACAAAGGTATGTCCTGGAGTTTCATTGCATTTTACCTGGAAGAAAGGCAGCCATCAAAACAGAGTTTTATCCAAAATTAATGTTTATAACAATATAAGCAGTGGAAGGCTCTCCTGTCCTGAAATGTATGGAAAAGATTCTTTACATTTGAAACATCCCGTTTAAGTGTTTTTTAATTAAAAAATTTAACCATTTGCTGTATCATGCTGGTTAGGTACTATAGTAGCAGTTAGAGGGAAAGTGTTGAGTACCCCTATACCAGCTTAGCAACAATGTTTTTAGGGAGGGGGTGAGAGGGCACAGTCAGAGACGTGGGTGTTTACTGCCAAGAGAGTGCCTTTTGGAGGGCAGTGGGAAGGGAATAGCAGACCGTAGATGACATATGACTTCCTCCCAAAAATAAAAGAAAAAATAACAGTGAAAGACCTTTGAAAAACATAATGCAGAAGTCAGGAGAGGAAGAGGATTTGACTTGGCTTCTTGTATTTCAACTCTCTGCCTTGATATGAGATAAAGAAAAATTGTAAAGGCCTAAAAATTCCCACAAGCTGAGAAAAAAATTGTGCCCCAGTATAGTTATTAACATCTCTTTGTCATAAACTCAATTCAATGCCCCATGTCTGCAATGGCAGCCAGTGCTTGCCATGGCCCGAAGGAGAAAGGAATAGGGACACAACACTGCACAGAGGGTTCTGACACAGTAGAAGGTCAGGGTGCAATGCCCACTTTATTGAAGGAGAACAAGGACTTATATAGGGTTAGGGTAAGGGAAGGTCTAGTAACTGAGGTAGAGCATGAGATTGACATCTCAGGAGAATATGGGATTGGGGAATGAGGGAAAGGTGGGAGGAACTTGGGAGTATCTAGGGGAAGGGGATCAATGGGAGCTCACTCCGCAGTGCGGCACCCGTCGGCTAATCAGTGTGGGATGAACGGGAAAGCAGGGGAGGACAAGGTGGTAAACAACTTTTGAAGGGAAAATGTGAGGCCAAGTCCAGACAAGACCTGAACAATACAAACCAAAGGGATTAACATAGGAATATATGTGGGGGTACCTTGAACATGATACAAAACTGGGAAATAACATGAAAGTCCGTAAATTATTAGCTCCTTCAGGCTCCATATAAGTCTCTCCAGGCTTTGAATCTCTCCCAATCACGTTCTTCCTCAAGTTCTGGCATTATAACTTTTTAATGCTTCATGCCGGGCCCATCTTCCCTCTGGTCCAAACCCTATTCTAAAACCTACCCTTGGAGAAGAGGCACAGGTGGTGGCAGATGGGGTAGTATGGGGAAGAGAACACCCTGCCAGCCGGCCTTGCTCAGCCCACACCCACTCTGGCTATCACTAGAGCTATTAGGGCTTTCTATGGGTAGATTTAGGAATGAGCTTTGTATGCCTACAGATAATAAGTGGTGGTCAGTACAAACAGATACTTCCACATTAGATAATGTTCAGGACATCTCAGAAAAATGCAGTCTGAGACTTATGTCCAGGAGCACTGAAGAAATTAATGAGGAAAATATTAATGTCATTTAATTATACATCCTGTTGAATGTAAATTTCTGTTCAGTATATAAAGATTTAAAACTATCTTTAGTGGATATAGGATCTAAATTGGAAGTGATGGTGCTGATATAATGATCTGATAAAATGAAAAATCCAAAATGTTTTATTTTTCTTGTCTTCAACAAGGACTTTCCTATATATTAATGTAGCTGCAGACCATGAGCCTTGTGCCACTTCAAGGACTTTCTTTACTGAAAAGGCTGGTTTATAACTCTCCACACAGAGAAATCAAGCAAAACCTTAAGGAAGCTGACAGTGCTAGGCGTACAAGCATAAAACAAGAGAGTGACAAAGCAGTAACTACTGAAGGTTAACAGGGGCTTAAGGGGACACTGGACAAGTACCCAGGGAAAAACAAATAGGCAGAGGCCCATCTAAGTTAGGATGTCCCCCAGGCTGCAGTAGTTCAGGCTGAGAGAGTGCTTGGGGCAATATCATATGGCCTGACACTCCTTCATAGGCACTGCTCCCATCGATATTTTTTCAGCCTATCCTTAGCAAAAATAATTGTTTCCTCTCCTAATTTTCCCCAAAAAAGAACAGAAAAACAGAGGAAACAAATTAAAGGAAACAAATTTGGGATTAAATCAAGGGATCTCAGCATGGAATAAGTTTCTGGTTAAAGATGTTCTCCTGCAATATGGGAGCCCCAGTTGAAAATGCTTCCTCGCTGTTTGGTAAAGAACTTGAACCCTGAATCCACCACAGACAAGAATGGGAGCCCCATCTTGTGTGATTCTTTCTGCTATGGTCTTCACAATGAACATCAAATGCCTCCAGTAAATTTTGCTGTAGAAGTGGCAAATTGTGATAACCCCAAAACCTTCTACTGGACATAAAAAAACCCATCCGTATCTACCCTTCCGCTAGTAGTGATCTGATGCATCTGACTTCACAGAAACAGGTAACTTGAATGAAGTTTTTTATTTCCCCCTGTGAAACCACACTATGAGATTGCAGGCTCTCTGTGTCTTCCTTGCATTGTCCAGGACAGTTGCTGTGATTACGTTGTCCATGTCTCTGGTCCCTAGGAGTCTAAGCAGCAGATTTTATTAGAAGCACACTGGAAGACTGCCATGAAAGATTACACTTCTGCAATGTAGACAGGCCTGTTAGAAAAGTAATTTGTTTTTATTGCCTTTGAATTTTCCCACCTGTATTAGAAGTGACCACATGATATTTTGGTCAGTTGGTTATGACATCTCTGCTTTCCCAGATTTTAATCCAGATTGGGTCAAATACACCTTGGAGAAAACCTTTCCTGTGATATGGCTGCTTTTACTTATGATATTGCCATAGTCCACTCATCCTATCTCACCAGTCTTCAGAGGAAGATCATGCCTCACTCTCATTGTTCATTCTCCCAGCAGAACAACTGGTATGGACACTTGTAATTTTTTCTTTTAGATAGCTTGTTCTCAGACTCTTTCTCACTGCTGTCTTGAAATTGCCTCATAACTACCTCAGTTGGTGTTTTCTGTGCCACACAGTTGTTTGTATTTCTTTCAAGATGATGAAGTAGTGTTTTTGATCATCTGTCATGCCTTGTGTCACAATATCCCTTTGGAAAAGAAGCCAGCTAGGTACACCTCAGTATCCTGAAGCGTATTTTGTATAAGTTACGGCTCTGCAATATCAACAGCATGTGATAAAACTTTCCAAAAGCTTCCAGTAATGTGTTTTTTAAAAGCTAATTGTTCATGGTCACCTTCTCTTTGAAGGTTTCCAATGCTTGGACTAACTGAACATATTTCTCATGTACTTTTCACATATATGTGGTCCTGCAAGACCCTCTTTCAGTGTGACATTCAACACAGAAGACACCTACTGCCACTTCTGATATAGGTGTCTTTTCTGTCACATTTTTCTATACAGATTACAATGTTCTGGGGTAGGTAATTAGTCTCTGAGGTATGGGATAGTTGTGGCACATTAAATTACCCATATAACTCATTTGTGTAATAGTAACCATGAATGTTTACTTTCACCGAAAGTCTCTAGGGGAAAGAAGCGTAGCTAGTTTACCAGTGCTAATAATCTGTAAACCAACTGAATCCATTTAATGTGGATTTGAG